TACTGTTACATTATAGCCACAAGACAGCCCTAAGAATTCAGTTTGGAATGCCAAGGTAAACTTGACAGAGTCCTTTCTTTTCAGGCAGGTAGAAGATTAACAAAATAACCCTCACCTAACTTTTCCAACCAGCAGACAGCTTCTGGGATACTTCAGTAATACAAACAAACAAACTTCAGACTATCATAGTATAAACAGTGAATACTTCATAATGTATATAACCAACTACAACTAAAATCAAAGTTTTACTATCTGGGTAGTTAGCATGTACTTAGGATCAGTTTATTCATTTGAGTATATTTTTTTTATTTTTTCACAACACAGTAACAAAATAATTCCTAGCAAACTTTGAAGGTATAAAGCTCTTCCTGGAAGAGCATCTGTCACATTTCTGGATGGTTCAGTAAAGAATCCATGATAGCATAAATGCTCTCCACATTAGATACTTGCTGCAGTTAGAAAATATTTCTCACTTAGCCAAATTATTTTTCTTTTCCTCAAAACTGAACCTTAACAGCTTCACAGCAGGCATTCATCACTGTGAGGCATTTAAGCACTGTGTTAGTTTAAATGTATGGAAGGAAAAAGTGCATTAAACACTAATGGTTTCTCTGCAGGCCTTAGGGACTTCCCACAGTGTTTTTTTTAAACCAGCTGAGTTCAGCTTTACCAGTCATTTTCCAGCAGCCATGCTGCACAGGCTGACACCTTACACCAGTTAAAAACTCCAAGTCCTAGAGGTTAACTCTGGCTCCCCTGGCAATCCCAAGACCTTATGCCATCCAGTGCACTTCCTAGCCAGAGCCTCCAGCTCTGATGCCTCAGACAGCAAAACCATATCCCTCTTTTACCACATGTAAATAACACACTGGAACATTCTCTCATGGCTGCCACCAAGAGGATGAACTATATTTTTTTTTTTTTATAGAACAAATAACTACAGTTGCATCACATCAATTCATCACGGCCAACAAAGAAGTGAAAGACGTCGTGATCACATCACTTAACTGCTGCACCAGGTGAGACTAAAGGTCCACACCTTTGCATATCAAGATTCTGAGTACTACTCAGCTTCAGAAAAGTTCTCCTAGTCATGTTGGCACCACTTCTCCCAAAAATCCACAAAGATGCATGCAGTGTTAAACTGCAATTCATTCCAAGTGAGTGGCAAGGCATTTTATTTTGGCTTGCAGATACATCTCACAAGGGACAGACACCTAATCTTCTTGCTAGAAGCAGGTAAGAACAGGTGTGAGCAAGAAACTTGCTGCTGCACACTAGCTGGTATAAGAATTATAGTGTTTACCTGGAAGAACTATTTTGGGGAATGCTAAAGGGAAAGATACAATCATAACAAGCTGTAATTGGGAAAATGTGCTAAATCATCTCCTCACATAGCCCCAGAATTGTTGACTCTGATTTTGAAATACAAGCATTCATGCAGCAGAAGCAAGGTTTCTAATGCTTACATGGGAGGACACATGAAAATTCTCTCAATTTTAACCCACTTTACTAGGGCATTTATCAATTCTGTGGCTTTTTAGAGAAGAAATATAAAAAAACAAAGTGCATAAAAACTGCATAATCTTTATCCCTCTTCTGTTCTTCTCCAGAGCAGTAGATTACAAAAATGTCAACGAGTGAGTTATTACACAAAAAAAAAAAAAAAGAGGGAGGGAATACTCAGTTGAGGAAAAATAGCTAGGACACTAAATTTGGAATGTAGGAGAAGGAGGAAAAACATTTCCATTAACTCAGCCAAACCTAAATACACAATAATCCAGTTTAATCAAGCCCATTAATCAAGGGATATGGAAGACAAAAGCTCTACATCCTACAGGTTTTACTCCTGCTTCCACAAACCCCAGCAGCTTCATACCAGAAGCCACTAGTCTGTCACCCTTCTTCTCAGTCCTGTTGTTGTGTCCCACAAAATATCCCCTCCAGGACTTATTGCTGCCAGTTGCCTCTGGGCTCAGAGTGGGCCACACACCTCTATCTAGGGTGAAAGAGGACAGGGAAAGCTAGAGCCATTCCCCACCTTTGCCCCAAGGCACAGGATGGAAGCAGAGGAGCCTGTCTGGCTCATTCAGCAGGAAACAACCAAGGAAGCTGCAGCCATTGTCAGAAACACTAGAAGGATGTGCTTTAAAGAACAGAATACCCTCTACTCCTCACTTTAACAAAGAAAAATTAAAACCACATTTATTTTGGACTACTATTATTAATATTGTTATCATCATCATACCTGAAGATTCCTGCTATCTGAAGTTCAGTTTCACCCTTATCTGTCAGCTCAAAGACAGTAGCAGCCACTCTCAGTGATCCTAAGGAGGACTTCATGTTACGTATGGCTTGCTACACACAAGGGAAAAGCATCTTCTAAGTTTCTCAGAACCCTCCACATAATTCTGACACAATGCAATTACAGAAGAGACAAGAATTTAAGGAACACAGAATTTCTTCTGTCTATGGTGAAGTTCCTGAAAAAATAAATTTTACTTCACAACATCAGCATGAATCTATCATAGAAAATTCCCCACTCAATAAACTGCCCAGGAGAGCTACGGAACAACTGACAGCACAGGGGAAGCAAAGAATCACTTGTGACACCTCACAGGGAAGTCTACAGGGCATTGTGCCCAGGAAGTGGGAAAATGAACTTAAACGTCACCTTATTGCATGAGTCAGTGCAATAAGCTGATGGAATGGAGCACAGACTGTAAAGCAGGTGGGAAAGTATCTCCTCTTCCCCAGTTTGTCAAAGAGTGTATATGGTTTGGATAGTGTCCCAAATGAGGCCCAGAGGCAGCACTCTGGTATCACTCAGGAGATCTATGAAACTCCTACAACAGTTGAAAACAGCAGAAGGAGGAAAGGGGAAAAAGTAAAATCAGAGTACCTTCTACAATCTGAGAAGAGGAGAAATAGAGAAGAGTTTAAGAGAAGTCAACTGGTATTTAAACACAGGAAGTGAGGCAGAGAGAGAGAGGGAAGAAAATGAAGAAGTCAGTTAGAAAGACAACAAAACAAATGGAAAGACAAACCAGCAATCCTCTTGGAAAAATGAAAACAAACATCACAGAAGTGAAGCAATTTTATCTGGGCCTAGAAGACTCCAAAGTGCTGAATTTGCTTCTTGGCTCATCCTCTGCTTGAAAGAATTAATGGCAAAATTCCTTCCCCAAAGGTGAGCAATCCACTAATCCATTAATCCTCCAGAATGACATTGTGATGAGAATTTCATAGTGAGTCAGAACTTTGACCTAAATTAGCCCTTCAGGGTGAAAAGTGATCAGGCAAGGGGATGAGGAGCACTTGTAGCAAAGGTCTGTAATTAAACAGAAATATGTCTCTGATTTTGGAGTTAAGAAGGGATCCAAGTAGAACAAGGGATGTGCTCACCAAAAGTATCTCCCCTGGGGCCATACACGTGTTAAAACAAGAAAAGGCACACCTCAGACCATCCACAGTTACACTATTTTACTTTTCCTTATGCTCCTGTCTCAACTCAAGCCAGGTTTGGCCATTATTTCACAGCTGATGAAAACTATACATCTGGATTCTTAGAATAAAATGAGATTACACACTGAACTGTGTATCAGGCTTAGTGACAAATAATAATCTTCTTGCATCAAATGGAGAGCTGTCATGTATTAATGTTTTAAGGTCACTTTCAAGGGGGGGATTCACCACCATCAGAGTTTAAGCCACAAGACCACTAAAATCCATAACTGTGTACACACAATGCTACAAAAGTTTAAATGAGCCTAAAACGCACTGCACTACCTAGCCAAAACCTCCCAGGAACCACTGCCTACATACTACACAACTTAGTCTACAGGAGGATTAGGCAATGGTCTTCACATCCAGTAGGAGGCAATAAAAAGCATACACAACTTCAAAAAACATGCAAGATACCCCCAGACTGCACTGCTGTACCCTTTGTTTTCAAGCAAGGTTCCCGAAAAACCTGTCTGTTCCTGGCAGGATGGCCATGAATGACCGCAGGGGTGATGCCCACAGAGCCCTGCCCTCCTGCGGTGCGCCAAGGATGTGGCTGAGCCCACCCGTGCCAGGGCCCGAGCCAAGCCGAGACCGGCACAGGCAGCGTGGGGTACAGAGGCGGTGCCACAGAACACTCGCTGCCGTCCGCTGCACGCCTGGGAAATCATCTCCATGCCTGATGGCACTGCGGGGCTGCTCGACAGCCTAATAAAGCCCATTTCTGGCAACTCCTTGAAACACACATTTTAGTAGAGACTTTAGCAGAGATCCTCAGAACGATTAACAAGTTCCCAGGAAACGCAGTGGGGATGATAGCCGCTCTGGAAAGGAGGGGAGGATGCCCGCTCTCCAGCACGGGCCTGCCGAGCAGGGGGCGCGGGGGCCGGGCGGTGTAGCACCGGCCCGGGGACCGCACCGCAGGCACGGCACGGCCCGGCCCGGCCCGGCAGGAGCCGCGCTGCCCCTGCTCGCCCCGGGGCCGGGCACCGACCCTCGCCATTCCCCGCCCGGGAACCCCCTGCGCCCCGGGGCTGCGGGCACCCAGGGGCGGGGCTGCGGCTCTCCGCGGCGGCCGCGCACCTGGTGAAGGCGAAGGCCATGAGGCTGAGGATGGTGAAGCTGAGGAGGGTGATGGTGTGCGGGCGGTAGAAGAACTCCAGCGTGATGTCCTCCACCTGCTGCTCGTTGATCATGCGGAAGTGCAGGCGGTAGTTTACGTCGTCCTTGCTCAGGGTCCGGCTCCCCACGCACGACGCCATCTCGTCCCCTCTCTCCCCTCGTCTCAGCGCGGCTGTGGCTGCGCGGGGCGGCGCGGCCCGAACCAGCCCGGCCGCCCGCCCGCCCGCGCCGCGTCCCGCCGAGCGCAGCCGAGCGGGGCAGCGCCGCGCCCGCCGCGCCGAGGGGCGGAGCTCGCCCCGCCGCGCCCACGAGCCGAGGGCGGGAGAAAGCAACGGAGAGCGGGAGGGGGGTGGTGGGGCCACATAGTCCTTTTACAACACGCAGAGAGAAGGGCGCTGCTGCCTGCTTCCCCCCCTCCGTTTTCTCCGGAGTGGTCTCGCCCGGGCCGGGCCGGGGAGCGGGGCGCACACGTGGGCCGTGCCGTGCCGTGCTACGCAGGTGAGGCCCCGGTGGGTCCCGCTGCTCCCGGGCCGGGCGGCACTGCCCCTTCTTCTGTAGGCTGCATGCAGTGGCTGCCGGCCTGGGGAGCCCTGCGAGGGGAGGGCGGCGGGCGCGGCCCGACTCAACCTCCTCGCCCTGTGGAGAGTGTGCGGTCGCGGCTTTATGCGGAGGGCCCCGTCCCCCTGGGAGGGTTTAGGTCCGGGCTGGGCTTCCCCCGTGCTCCCAAGGGAACGGCTGTCCTAGGGGGCGGCGGGCGGTGGCTCAGACCCGGCTCCTCCGTTTGTCGCGCGTTTAAAGCCTGAAGGCAGCTAGGTGGTGCTTTGTAGTGAGGGATTCCTGTAACGCCGGGCTACGGCGAGGCGGGAGCGCCGGTGTCACTCCGCGGCCTTTCTGTGCCTGCAGGATGCCGTGCTGGTGATGGCTCTGTGGGCTCGGCACGCCGCCCGCTGGGCTTGCCTGCTGAGCACGGCCCGTGCTGCTGAGCTCCCTCGGGGGCTCCGGGGCGGTGGCTGCCCCGCTCGGGAGTGTGCCCGTCGGGCTGTGCTGCCCGCTGGGAAGGAGGCGGCTCTGTGCCGACTGCAGGCCTGCAGGCCAGTGTCCCTAGGGAGCTGTTCCCCGCCCGACGGCGCCGAGGATGGATCCTGCTCCTCTCCGGAAAGTAACTTGCCTGCAGTACAACAGGAACGAGCAAAAGCAGAAATATTACCTGATCTGAATGCAAAAATACTGGACAAAGGTAAGAGGCTTTAAGGGATAGTATTTCTCCCAAATCCTCAAATTATGTTTTCAGTATGCTGCGGTTTAACCCCAACTGGGTTCTCCTTTTTTGCCCTGTTTGCCTAGAATATGTGTTTGGAGTTCCTGACTTTCACTTCTGATTAGCTCCGTAGTTAATTCAGGTAGTTATGGTCGATGTGGCATGCAAAGAATACCTTTAAAGTGAAATAAAGGTATAATGTTTTGGGTGAAAATGTAGGTCTGGAGCAGCCATTTGAAGGAGTTTTCATAACCTTACCTGCATCTGCTGAGCATTTGCCTTTCCCTCACAGATGTGGTGGTACAAACTAAAGGGTTTTGGTTTGAGTTTTTTTGGGTTTGGTGTTTTTTGTGATTTTTTGTGGTTTTTTTTTTTTTGGTTGGTTGTTTGTTTGTTTTGTTTTTTTGTTTTTTTTTTTTTTTTTTTTTTGGGGTTTTTTTTGCCTCGTTTTGGGGTGGTTTTTTGGGCTTTTTTGTTGTTGTTGGGTTTGGTTTTTTTGCGGTTTTGTTTTGTTTTCTTGGGTTTTTTTTTATTTTTTATTTTGAGCGAGGCAGGGAGATCGCACGCCTGAAGCAGCTCACACTCCACGGCTTGAGGGATCAGGACTGACCAACAGGAGGCAGTGGTGTGAAACCTCCTTAAGCAGTGCTCTGATGAGAAGTGCTCGCCCAGCTGTGTTCTGAGAAAAGGACACGAAAGGAGATAAATATAGCGGCGCCTTGGTGTTGTTGCCCTGAGGAAATTTACTCACTTTTCCCCCCTATTTTTACATCTAAACAAGGATTATAATTTTCCATCCTTTCCAATTGCTTTGTGTATGCTGAGGAAACTTGCTCTGAATTACTGAGCAGCCTTTTATGTTCAGATTCTGCTTTGAGCCCAACCAGCCTGGATTATACAGAGTTTATTATTTGGGGTGGCTCAGACCTGCACCAGAGATCTGTGTGTGTAGCTGGTTCTGACCCAGTGCTGACCAAAGTGATGGGTCAGCAGCTGGTATGTGGCTGCACCTGCGATGCAGTTTATCCACTTGCCAGATTTTTATCTGCCAGCAGACTGACTGGAGAATGTGTGTGTGCGTGTAGCATTTTGCCCAATTGTCAGTTTATATAATGGAATAAACATAATTGATAATTTTGGGGGGGCTTTGGTATCTTGGAAGTATCATTCCCAATAGCAAGTGTAAGGACCTTAAAGAGGCAATAAAAGACATGCATGCATCTGGAATGTATATTGTATATATTGTAAATATATTGTATATATTGTAAAATATATTGTATATATTGTAAAAATAAAAGACATGCATGCATCTGGAATGGACTTTATTGTATATTGGTTTGGTCCTCAACAAGTTGAAAAAAACCACTTGATATTCCTATAGATTCCTAGAGAGTTCCTGTTCAATGTGTAAATGTTGCTGAAAACATTTTACTGTGCTTTTGTTTCTGAGGCTGTGAGAAAAAGACAAGACCTTCAACAGCTATGAAACTAGTCTGTGCAACTCTTCCTGGAGCATTAGGCACATCCTAATTACTTTGGAATTACTTGTAGTAGAGTTCTGGTGTGCCTTTGTTTCTTGATTTGGAAGAGCATTACCCTGGTCTCTTCGAAGCCATTATACAAAGGTATAGAGCACTGAAAATGCCCTTCCTGAAGAATTTGTAATCAGGACATCTTATCAGTAATCAAATTGGTGATTGATGTGGATGCTAGCAGCTAGCCTGCAAACAGCAATCTTAATCTTGCTGCTGTGAGCTCCTATCAATGGAAAAATAGATCTGTTTAGAGAATTTGTTTTTTTAAAGACACTTGTTTTTAAAGACACAAGTGTCACTTGGAACACTTAAGGGAAAACAAGCATAATGATGTTCCCTTTGAAAACTTAGTGAGTAGCAAGCTATTCCTTTTGCTATTAGAGATAGTGGCAGTGAGCTTTACCTTTCTGTAGTGGATAAGGCATAACAGCTTGGCTGGAGTTGGCTATGAAATACATTGAAAGTTAAAACAGCTGCATTTCAGACAACATATTCAGGAGAGCCACAAAATAGTGGGCTGGTCTCGTTATGAAAAATAGTCTTTGCAGTAGCCTTTTATCTGGCTGTGATCAGGCAAGAATGCATTTGTGAAGACATGAAAGACGATCCATTTCCAGAGGGTGATATGATCTATTGTCTGCAGTGGTCTGGGCAGCAGACTGAAGGCAGGCTTGCTGGATACTACTCTCACTTGTGGCCATATGAGTAAAAGGTGATAGGCAGTGACCAGGAGGTGGAACAGAGGCAAAAGCTGGGAGCAGTCTATGTTTTTATGTTTTCAAATAATAGGTTGGCTGTTTATCACATGGCACAGTGTTCCTGCATTTTGGAAAGGATTTTAAGAGATCTGTATAGCATTTGGTGGGAGCAGCTTCGTCTTTCACAAAATGCATTTGGGTCTTCTATATTTGTTTCTCAGACTGGGATGACATCCCACCTTCATCTGCTTTGGAAGTGATTTCTGAAGAAGAAGCTGTACAGATCATTGCAGAACCACTTCTCCCCATTCAGTCTTCCACGCTCCGAGATTATGTTGATCACTCAGAAACCCTTGCGAAACTTGTCCACCTAGGTACGTGTGATTTTGTTTGTGTGCTCTGCCTATAGCAGGAGCCTTGGAGATCCTGTAATTTCTGCTTTGCTCTTACTGGTTACCGTGTAAACTTGAAGATGGGAACAGTGACCAGTGGTAAAAAGCTGCAGAATGTTATTTAGGGTAAACAGACAAAAACGGGACTGTATCACTAGCAATGCCATGCTACTGGGAAACAAAGCTGGCTGGTGTTAGTCCCTGAGTGCTGTGAGTGTTAGAAGGAGGCATCCCCCACAGCTTCAGGAGGTGGGGATCACTGTGTTACTTAATTGGTCTTTCTTCTTTTGGGCTGGTTAAGGATGCTTTAATTTGCTGCAAAACAAGGTGCAGCTCTTCATCCTTGGAAGGAAGGAAAGAGGATGGTTGCCATACATAACATTAGGAGTGAGGCACAGCACCCTGGAGAGGCAAGAGGGGGGGGATTGACAAGAACCTTCTTTCTCATCAAAAAAACACTTGGAGTGCAGAGATACCCATGTTCAAGCTTTCTCACCACCATGTTGCCCAAACGTGCAAGGAAGACTAGAAAGAGGTTGTAGAAATTAATATTTGAGAGGGGGAATCTGTCCCCGTGTAGTAAGAAATTGTCATGTGTGAGTCAGTATACAAAGTCACTTCACTGCAAAATTGTCATCTTCCCTTTTATAACAGATGTGGAAATTTCATGCACACATACTTCTGTGCAACAAGAGCAGGTCTCTAAATGTGGCACATGCAAGATTCACTGCAAATGTCTTTCTTCAAAAAATAAACTCAGCAAAAGCTTCTAAAATGACTGCTTATTTTATCTGGAGTCTTTCCACAATATACAAGGTGGCGTAGCCTTGCTGTGTTGAGTAATTAAAGTATGCAAAATCAGTGCAAAAAATTGAGTAGACCTGTAAATTCCAGCATGCCTTTGGGAAACACTTACAGAAAGCAGGGTCTGTGTTTAATTAAAACAACTTCTAATTTTGTTTGTTGTAGGAGTTGACTTATCCCAAGTGGAGAAACGTCAAAAGGCAGGTCAGCTCTTACTGACCTTGGACTTTGAAAAAGATGTAAAAAAAATACTTCTGTTTCTTAAGGATGTGGGTGTAGAAGACAATCAGCTGGGACCATTCCTGACCAAAAATCCATACATCCTTGGTGAAGATCTGGAAGCTTTAGAAACCAGGTAAGCCTTTTGAGTAGTAGCAGGGTGTTAAGCCCCTTGGCTTGAAGATCTGGCTTCCCAGTTGGTTTAACCTTGTCTGATGGAGCTGTGCTGCGTGCTGCCTCCTTTCTTACTCAACCCCTGGCTCTGTATTCTTGTGCCTCCCCATCTGTTGGCACTAAGGTGTGATGGTATCATAAGTCAACACCTTCATGCACCTGAAAACTGCCTAGTAACAAATTTTTACTGCCCATCCCTGTCTCTTTGCCACAGAGGAAGCAGCTTGCCACCTTAGGCCACTTGCTTAACTCGTGTCAGCTTTCTTCCCAAAATGACATCCCTTAGGCTTTACATAAATTTGTAGAGCAAGATTAAACTCTTTAGTCAAAATTTGAAACCTCATGATTTCTGCAATCAAAGAAGATTTATTTTGTGTTGACATCTAATAGCAGCAGGATGTTTTGGTGACTTTTTTCCTGTTGTCCAGCTGAAACTCAACACAATACTACAATGAGCTAATTTGTGTTCGTTTACACTTGTATGGCCCTAAATTGTTCTTCAGTCTTTACAATGAACTTTAATTTATAATATTATTCCTAATTCAATAGTTTTCTTTCAGAACAACTCATGTGTATATGTATGTGCATGTTTAATGAACTCAAAACTTCCCAGTACTCCAGAGAAAAAGTCTGTGGTCTTGGCTCTTGCATGTAGTAGCATTTCTGTCTGAAATCTGAAAGTACAGATACTTAGAAACAGGCACATGACTAGACTCTTGTATAACATAGACCTAACTTCATTCCCCTCTGTTTTTCTAATCTTGTGTTCAGTAAGTGGCCTTTCAGAAACAATATTCAAAAAAATACCCTGTGTCATTTTACAGCAGTAGCTTTGAGTCTAGATATCTGACCAGATTGCTTATGCTCTTCTGAATAGAGGTTTGTGGGTTTTTTTGTGATAAATACCCTAGCTCTTCCATGAAGTCAGATCAAATTTTCAGTGACACTTCTGTGGCACTGGTTAGTTAGGAAAGAAGAGGCTAAACAGAGCAATCTGATTTCTGCTTAATTTTCTGCAGTATGATTCTTCTGTAAGATTTACACTGGTGAATGATTTCCTGCAGGCTTTAAAGTAAGTGTGCTGTAAAGACTGACTATGAAGTGAGTGTGTCTCAAATAGCTTTCTTTTGAAAGCTGAGTATCACCTTTGCATAAACAGTTCGGTGCAGATGGATGTGGTATTGGTTACATCACTCTGGAATGTTTTATTGCTATGGATTCCATGTTGCCAGGAAACAAAACACAAATTTCAATAGGTTTGGCATTTGACTTGAGATAAACACTGTAAAAGTCAAAACATTCCATAATTCCTAACAATTTTGACAGTTGCAAATCAGTGTCTGTACTGCAGCTGCACCAGATGCTTTGTTTCATGCGGGTGTTAATGATGACTTAAAACTGTTAACATGCTACATAGAACTGCTGAGCCCTGTAGTGGAACGAGGGCTAACCTCGGTGCCAGCACTCACAGATGTATCTCAAGCTTTGGCCAGGTTGGATAGTTGTGTTCCTTTAATACTCAATTTTCTATAGTCAGGTTACTACAATCTTGCCATCCCTCTTTTAAGTTTCTTGCCTTTCCAGGAAGAAATGCTTCAAGTGTGAATGCTAATGACTTATTAAGAGAAAAGAAGTCAGGAGTCAGGATAGCCAAAAGATTTGATTTTTAATTGGCTCATTTAGCTGTTTCTGGGGTGCTTGGAAGCTGTGCCAGTTCCACTGTCATTGTCTGGAGCCTAGTCTTCTGTGTTGTGGTGCCTGTTCAGTTAGGAATTGGTTCTTTAGAGCTTGTTTTTGTATCTTCCATCTGGGAGTTTTTGGCTTGTGATAACTTAATTTCTGAGGATTTGTGGAAAGAGGGAAGTTGTAGTGACTGGAAGGTAATTTTATTTTTTTTTCTTCACAAGACATGGTTTAACAGAAAGCCCATTTTTTGCGGAATATCTGCTTCTGCAGAATATCCTGCAACCCATTTAGTATCTTAATTACTACCAGATAAACCAGTTCTTGTATGCTCTAAGTTGATCTGACTGCAAATACTTCTCATATTGCAACTACTCTCATCCATAACCAGAGGAAGCCTCTCCAAATGATAGTTTAGTTGTTTAGTACGTGGTAGTATGTGGATTAATTGTGTCTCTTTACTTGGTGTGCTGGATTTCCCCTCTTCAAGCCCTTTTTTCTGGGAGCTGTGGTAATCATCTACTGCAAGTGGTACTTGAAACAGGATTTCACTTTCACTGAAATCAAAGTCTGGAAAAAGTTTTGACTTGGAAAGAAAGGAAGAAAGCAAGCTCTGTTAAATATCAAAACTTCAGTGAACTCCTCTTGCTTTCTGACAACCAGATGTTTGTTACTTGCTTGTTAGACCAGTGACTGAAAATAGGAACCTGTTTGTGGCAAACACAACTTCAGCTGATGTAGAAATGTCTTTTTTGACATTATCTCTACACATAGCATCATTGTATGATATTTCTACTCCAATGCTATTGGCAAAATGGGAATGTATGAGGTATAGTACTCTGTTCTTTCAGCAGTAGAAACGGAATTCATTAAAATAGCAAAAGGCTGTATATATCTTCTTGTCCATACCCTATTAATGTGTTTGCAATCTAGGAGACAGACTGGTAGTTAATGTAGGTTAACATAGTTATCTGCTTAAGTACAGCTGGAAGGAATTAAAATCTGTCTTCAGTATTGACATTCTGCTCTGAGGTTTATTTTACTTCTAATTAATTGGAAGGAAGGGTATTTTGCTTTTACGATAACTGCAGATTTCACCCTAATTATTTTTGGCAGGGTTGCATGTTAATGCTAGAACATCTGTCCATTTATAAGATATCACTGAGGAATTTAAGTGATCACTAAATAAATGGAGGCAATATAATTTTCATCACTGGATTTTATTTTGTTTTTCTTCTCTTTTTAGAGTGGCTTACCTAAAATCAAAAAAATTTGGTAAGTCGGAAATTGCTCAGATGGTCTCAAGAGCTCCGTATTTGCTGTTGTTTTCAGTGGAAAGACTGGATAACAGACTGGGTTTCTTCAAAAATGAACTTGGTCTCAGTGTAAAAAAGGTAAAGACTGAAGTCTTCAGGTATTTTGTTAGTGACAGTTGTAAGGTCTTGCCATATGAATACTCCAAGTGTTCAGAGATTATCAGCAAGCATTGTGTTAACATCAGTAATGTCACTAGAGGGTTACAGGAGGGTAACATGGATTTAACTGTAGAAGTGATATGGACATCTAACATACCGAGGACCTGAAGTACAGTTTCTGAAGATGACCTGCTACAGGTTATTATCAAATAAGCATGTGTATGTCCAGTTCTATTATTTGAGGTGGATCAGAGGACTGAATTAATTACTGAAACAGCAAGCAGCTCTTTTAACTTCTGGGAAATTCTTTGGTGCTCTTCATCTCTTTAAGACACTTAAATAATAAGTAAGTAACATATTTATGTAACATATTTAAATAATTTAAAAAATAGTCTAATCTGTGAATATCTTATCAAGATAAATGCCAATTCATATGCTCAGCTCACCAAGAGTGACCTCTGTATGTGCTCATGAGTATATACCTCTTACATGCTCAGCAGGTATTCAGCACCATGCTTTGGGATCTTCAGGGCAGGTAGCAGCTGGACTTGCCTGGAGTAAGTGGGCAGTGTTAGTTGTATCCTGCAGTAGGTGGGGATTGCAATGAATGTCAAATTCCAAGTGGAATCTTGGGTTCTTCTATTAGCTGAACAGTCATAGCTGCTACAGTGCCCTGTTGCTGGCCTTTCCATATTTGAGGTGAGACATCTCCTTGGAAAAAGGTTTAGCCGCCACCTTGTACTCAGGGTGGATTACAAGTAATCAGACACTTCAGGGAATGTGGAGTATTGCTTGTAGTGCTGTTACACTGTTATCTAACCAAATTCAGAAGTTAGCTCCACTGCCACTAAAAAATCCTTTTATAGCCTCCGTCGGGTAGTGTGTTGTTTACTTTTTTTAAAAAGATGGGAAGAAACATCTTGAGGGCTGAGAGAAAATGGGCAATTGAGCATACTTTCACCTTTTGATGCATGCTTTTACTCCCTCTTCCTGTCTGCTTTACAATTGTATTATTTTTTGTTTTCCAAAAGAAAATATTTGAGTAATGTTTTGCATTTTAACATACTGCTGTTTCATTTCATCTTTGGTGTAGAGGTAAAATGAAATACAAAATGAAATGCAAAAAAAAAGTTTATATAGGATCTTTTTTTTGAAGCCTTCAGTAAAACTCTTTAATTTATGTGTTTTTTTCTGATTGTAGACAAAGGATCTGGTAATTCGTCTTCCAAGGCTACTAACTGGCAAAATAGAGCCTGTAAAAGAAAATCTTCAGGTGAGCTTATGAATAGATAGTAAAAGTGTATTGTATGTAGTTTATGAGTTGTCAGAAGACAAAATTTGTGTAGAGGATGGTGTACAGAAAGAACATAATGAAATAATTTTAGTGGTGATATAAAATAACTGTTAAAGAATGTATTTTCCTCTATAGCCTGCAAGCTTACGCAATGCCTGGAGTGTTACCTTATTCGGTCTTCTACTCTGATGTATTGCCTTCCTACCAAAAGTTACTATATGATGACATAAATGGTCACCCATTTTTTAATGAGTAGAAAAATACTCAGTCTTTTTTTTCCCTCCCCTTAATTATTATGGTTTTTTGCTAACCTGGATTGTCTGTGAGTATTTAGGAGCAAGAAATGTGCAGTTGATTATTTTTCTCCTGGCAGGTAACTAGCCTGCCAAAATGTGCATTTGACACCTATTGTCTGATAGCAGATGGTCATTATTAACAACTGTTGGGTAAATAACTTCGAACCCATGGGGATTCCTTTCCCTTTTGAAAATGTAAGTGTATTGCTTTAATTACTGTGCTGTAAAGCCATCGAGGCCAAACAGCATGATGTAGTGTAACAATTTGTGAAATTCCATTATTCTATAACAAATAACTATAAATCAAGATGTATAATTTTCAGACAGACTCACTGTTCTGAAACTATTAAATGCTAGAAATCTTGCAGTCTGAAATGTGTGTGTGGTAAGGGAGGAGACTGGAAAGTGGCAGACTGTTCTAATTAATAGTGCTTTCTTTTAAACACACATTGTTTCCACAGTCTAGGGAGCCATTATTATAATGAATGTGTTTTTGAGGTCTTTAGTTCTATGTGACTATCTTGTTTATCTACCAAGAAATACAACATAGCACCTCTGTTTTTAAAATGTGTGAGAAGGGGAAAGAAAGGAAGGATTTTTAGGTCCCCGCTGTTGGAATCTACTCATTCTTAACAGCTCAAGCTTTTCAGGAGATTGGATTCAGAATCTGTGTTCAGACCTGTATGTCCTAAACTGCTGTGGTAGGACAGTACTTGGAAAGTGACATCATGTACCAACAGTTCAGAAGCGATCAGGTTGTGTCCCTCGTTCTGAGTGGACTCTTATTCAGAAACAAGTACAGTAGCTGATCTTGGTTGTCATAAGATACCAGTCATGGACTAAATGTGCTGAGGGATGGCTTAGTCCATCCTCTGAGGGTTTATAGAGATTCATTGACAGGGTAAAACCTGTCAAAGCTTTCATTACCACTGCCTGTTGTGGGAATAAAACATACTTCGTTGACTATTGCTGAGGCTTATGCAATAATGATATTAGCATGTGGCCTAGAGAGTTATTGAATATTAAACATGTTTGCTGTCAGACTGAGTGCAGTCAAAGCAATTTACACTTGAGCTCACTGATCATGTAGTGGGAGCTGTTCGGTGTCACAGAGTAGAAGATAAAAGCTCAAGATTCTTGCCACAATTACCTCTGCAGTGGGCCCAGCTTTATCTCTGCAGTGATTTAACATGGGGTCTTAACTCCGGTTGTGTATCTTGATGCAGGAAGTTACCCCTGCCACCTCAGGTCCATGGAAGATACCACTCATGTGCAAACACTTATTTTCATACTTGCATGCTGTCTTAGTTGATTGGTATTTTGTGTGGTGCACAAATATTTATGAAGAAGAAAAGTTAAAATGAGGGCTTGAAAGACCTAATTATAGTTGCCTTTAGAAACAGTTCCCTGCAAGGATTTGGAAGTCCTAAGGTAAATTCAAAACCCATATTCTAAGTCCTCCCTTCATATTTTACAAGCAGTTCTGGAAAAGAGCTGCAGTCTTGGCACATCAAACTGGGCAAACAAAAACACCACCTTCTTGCCAGCTGAAGTACCTTAGTTTGATATGAAAGTCTGGTTATGTTAACTGGCAAGCACACCCACTTCTGACTGAAAACAAGCTGCTTGTAAGTGTCACTGGAGGATAGAAGAAATGACTGAGTTAACAGACAGTCTTGTATGCTGAATTCTTTCTCAACAACTCAATTAATTGCTTGCCATTCTGCACTTTGGGAGGAGTGCTCATGATTTTATTGAAAAAATGTGTTTTGCTTTCCTTTTGGGAAATCATAATTGAAGTCAAGGCAGTCTCTGAAAAAGACATCTTACTTTAGACTTTATTGAACTGTAGAGTAAATTGAATACACTATATATTCTACACATCTCTTTCAGGTTCAGCAGTCTTAAGTTGAAGACTATAGAAATTATACTCCCTATTACTAGAATGTAACTTGGATACATTAGCAAAAGAGGCAACACATTAGCAAAAGTAGGCACTGGCTATTTGCTGTGTTTTACAGAGCTCAACAGCTCCACAGGAAGAAAGTCTCTTGACAGCTTGGTATTGAAAATGATAAAGGACTCTTGGAGAATTTTTATGCTTTTAACTGCCATACATATGGGAACGTGTTTTTTTTGTTCATATCTCAGACAAACTGGAAAATACATAACATTCACAGAAGTTATCTTTATTTTGGGGATATTCTATAAACAAATTGCACTTTAATCTAGAACAATAAATAATTTGCACTGTCTGACTTGAGAAGAACTGAAGTGGCAGATATTTTTTGTGGTTTGCATTCTTGTTGCTGTGTGTAAAAGGATAGAAGAATTTTGCATTAGTTTATTTCAGTGTCACATTAAAATAAGTTAAATTTGCTGACTTGCAAAGATAAAATTGTGCTGTTTTTCAGGTTTGTCAAATTGAACTTGGTTTTCAACGTGATGAAATTCAACAGATAGTGTGTAAAACTCCCAAGATTTTAACTGCAAGTAAAAAGAGACTCAAACAGACATTTGACTACTTACACAACATAATGGGCATTCCCCACCACATGCTTACTCGCTTTCCTCAGGTGAGCTGTTAATCTGGGAATAAACTGTAGCTGCTCTTGTCACAGCCACTTCATTAACGTGCTGAAGGTGGAGCCTTGCTCTATGCAGAACATAAGTGAATTATGCAGCTAGCCTATGGCTTTTACTCTAATTGAGAGAACTTTTATTAGCAATTCAGAAACTATTGAGGATTTCCATGTGGAACTGCTGCTTATTTTCCCTTAGCATACGTGATATCACTACCCACAGTCTTGTGATATTTACAGTTTTCAACAGAGGTAGTCATGCTGATGTCTTCTGTGTTCATGCAAGAGATTACTGCCTGCTTAGGGATTTGCTTGGCCTGAAATCTTACCTAAGAGACACAAGAAAAGACAGATTATGCAGAAGATCTGTTCATTAGATAACATTATATATATAAATATAAACATTTCTTTCAGGTTTGTCTACTTAAAAAATAAGCTTTAAAAATTTTAGGATTTGAAAATACAGTGTAAAGGTAAGAGAGGTTCTGTCCATTAGACAATCAGATTATCATAGGTCTTCTTATTGCTGCAGCAATTGCTAAAATACCACAGGATTGAAAATAGATTCATTTCTTGATTACTATTTTGGGGTTTTTTGGTACCTCCTCATTACTGCTATTTCCTCACAAATTAAAAGTGAAAGTGTTAGTCACTTAGTGCAACTGCATGTAGGCATTGAATAATCTTCTTACAAGGTGAAAATGAAAGCAGAAATTACAACTTCTGAACTGCAGTAATTTTCTTTCTAAAGCAAGTTTAATAGAGAATCTAAGTGGCTAGAAATCCAAAATTGCATGGGGGAATAAAACTGCTCCTCAGGATTTTGATTATCTTGCTATTTAATCTATCTTTACTTAACAAGGATGCTTGCTTTTATGCTCATCTTTGTCACTTTGCCCTCCTTGATCTGTAAATGGCTGCAAGTTTTTCTCACTTCTTCTCCGTTGTCTTATTGTTGGCTTTATGGTGGTTCACCTCATTATTTTTCTTCCTTTTGTTTGGTAGGGTAAGTGGAGTGTTTCCTCTGTTCTTGTTCTTGCCACAGTCTCTCCCTCTCTTTCCTGTTCTTCCCTTTCTCCCTTGAAAACTGTGAATTCCAGGACACAGGTAGTAGTGCACATCGGTCTGTATATGGTTGGGCCTTTAACTTGTGCCTTCCCAAATGCATGTTTGTCTCCATCTGTACTCACTTTTATCCTGAATGACAATAATGTTGAAAATAGGAAGTATACAGGATTTTATTTTTTTTGGTCACATTCTCTCTGATGTTACAGTTGCTCTTGTAACCATTCTGTCAGCTATCTCCATAAATGACGGTTAAGTGTTTGGTTTTTTTTCCTCCTCTATTTTGACTGCCTCTTAAAATTTAAGGAAGGCAGAGGAGGAACAGTAGTTTTGTTTTTCCTTCCTTTTTCAAATTAGTTTGCATCCTCATGGAACTCTTCTTCCATCAATGGAGTCTTTTTTTTTTTAGTAAAATCTCTGCTTCCTGTAGCATTCATATTGTCCTCATTATTGCCCCTGTAGCGTCTCTCTCTATTCAGTTGTACTGCTCAGGAATGAACTTAGATCTTTGCTTTTACACCTTAACTGTGCATCTCATTTTCTCCACTTCCCTCTCTATTTAAATGTTTTGCTGATTTCTTTTGTGTTTCCCCTACCATTGTTCTCATCTTTGACTGTCTAGATTATTTTTTTTTTGTGCCAGGCATCTTCAAAGGTAGGCATTGCTGTGCAGCAGAAGACAGATGGTTGCTTTGAACCACTACACTGTGCCTTCTGGCCACATTATGATGACAGGAGTCACATCCACTCACCTTTGCCCTTGCCACCGTACCAGTTTGTTATTTGCATTATGCCAGGTGGTCACCTCTTAATTTCTTCCTTGTAACAGTGGTCATTTGAATCTGTCTGATGCTGGAGGGAAAGTGCTCCCTGTTACTGAATACCTCCACTTTCTTGGCTGTGCTTACACAAAAGTAATCTAGTTGTTATATAGAAACAAATCCCTAGCACATTAGGTTTTTTGTATCACTCTGTTTTTTGTTGTGTATGTTAGCATATTGCATTGAAGTATTTATTTAGAGTCTAGATAATTTATATATAAATGTAACCTACCTGGTGTTGGATGTAAATTAAAGGAAAACAAGTGTATTACTTGTTTGCTTCCTAGATCTTTAGTTTGTCTAAAAAATTCTCTTATTTTTGATGCCTCAGGGTCTGAAATTTAGACAACCTAAAAAATTCTTCCCTTTTTCTTTCTTAGGTTTTCAACTCAAAGCTACTGCGAATCAGAGAGAGGCATATGTTTCTTGCATTCCTGGGAAGAGCCCAGTATGACCCAGCAGAGCCCAGCTACATCTCCCTGGATCAGCTGGTATCCTTGCCTGATGAGGTGTTTTGTACAGAGATTGCCAAAGCGTCTATGCAGGACTTTGAAAATTTCTTAAAAACGCTTTGATTAGTAATACATGTAAAAAATTATAGAATTGAGTTGAAAAATAAACATACTTTATAAAACTACTTCCCTTTAAGGTCTCTTAACTTTTTAATTACTGGTTTAAGAGCTCATTGTTTATGAAGCGGGTAGGATTTAAAGGCTTACAGTAATACTTATAGTAACTTAAAAATGTATTTCAGAAGGATTGAGCCAATATGTTGATTACTACTAATGCAAGCCTTGTAATTAATCACTAACTTAATTGAAAGTGGATGATGCAACACATTAACAGAAAGGTAAATTAAATTTTTTCTTTTTTTCTTTTGATAATAGCAGAATTTTGGGAGATTGGAAAACCAGCTAGTGACTTATTCCTTGTCTTGCCCTCTGTTATCTTCTCCTTTCACCCTCTTCCCCAAAAGTTAGAATAGCAAGATAGTGTGGTAGTGAAGTAATGTTGTGTTTACCTGCTTGAGCTAATAATAATAATGTTATTCTTGTATGGCAGAAATAATTACACCATTAATTTGTGAAGCTCCTCATACAGAAAGGCATTCTTTCAATAGGTTACAAAGGTGTTTCTTTTTGAAGCTGGCTGCTGAAATTAGTATCCTAAAAGCTGGTTAGAAATGTCAAAAAAAAAAAAAAACCAGCAAACAAAATTTACGAAAATCATAAAAAGAAAAAAAGTTGTTACTGTCCCTGAAGAATGTCAAAAAAAAAAAAAACCAAAAAACCAGCAAACAAAATTTAGGAAAATCATAAAAAGAAAAAAAGCTGTTACTGTCCCTGAAATCTAGAAGAACTTTATTTTAGTTAGTTTTCTCTTCCCCTTGTTCAGTTTTTTCCCCCCATACCAATGAGATTTGTGTGGCTTTAATACACAAGTAACCACATGAAAAGAGGCTGTAGTGTATATTATGATGATAGAGTTGGTCAGTTGTAAAAGCTGCAGTAAATTCTGACATTGGGCATCACAGGAGTATTGAAAATACTTAATCTTATCATTAAACAAAGCACATTAATATGGAATTATCAAATGCTTCGCAATGTATTTGGGAAGAACGAAAAAGTTGCCTAATCCACATGCAGAACTGTTTGATGTTGTTTAGAAGTTTGAATTTCTTCAAAAAAACAGCTCAGGAAATCTGAAACCCAAATGTTTTAATTTGGATTTAAGCTTCTTTAATGAAAAAGCCTCAATGTTTTAAGACTGCACTGTTGAAGCTAAAAATAGCAATTTTTATGCACACAACAGAATAAAATCCAAAGGCGAAATTCTACTAATAGGTGGGAAATAAAGTAAGATTAAAGAGATTTAAAGAATGAGAATAGTAGTGATCTCCAGATTATGACTTTGGATAAATTCTTATTCAAATTAAGAATTTGAAAAAAAAGTGCTTGAAACACATTGAAAAATCACATTCACTGTCTGCAGTATATAGCTGAGATTATCTCTTTTGTATTTTTTTTCTCATGTTTCCTGTTCCATTGGCCTGGAAATATTGCTTGAAATACTCTATTAAATAGACTGTTCTTGGTGGAGAGGCATAACAAATTTCATGGTGAAATGTGCTGACTAAGCACTTCCCCCCATTCCTTCCTGTTAAATAAAAGTATCCAAAGTCCAATATACTTACTTGGATTTTTGACTGTATTAAATGCTAATAATAAACTGTAATCTTCAAACAATCTTGTAAAAAATAGTGTTTACAGTAAAAATGTTAATAGAAAATATGTGGATTCATAATGTTGGAGTTAACTTTTGCAGATTTTCTCCACTAGCCTTATTACTATGTATTACCATGTGACAAACCATTGTAACAGAAATTATATTACAGAGTTTGTATATTTTGAATGTCTCAAACTTTGAGCTTTAAATTCCTTTAATATTTTTAAATGTAGGAATGATTGCTGCCAGAGCTAAACCAGTTTCTTTGAAATGTTGAATGCACAAGCTTCTGCCGAAATAGATGAAGAATGAACGCAAAACATTTAAAGGGAGTGCTAAAATGGAAGGGGAGAGGGGATCGAAGAACTTTATGAGGATCGTGACAAAAACTTTGTGGCTTTACGATTAAAAAAAATAAATAAAACCACAAACTTTTCTGGCTGAAATGACCCACTGCGTTGCGTACTGCCTATTTCTGTGCTCCCCCATGTCCGCAGTTTGTTCCTTTCAAACCGCAGTGCTCCCTTCCTGAGGGAAGGCCTGGGCAGATGCAGCGCTCTGTGCTCCCCGCTCACCTGGCGGCTGCGATATCTGAGCAGAGATAGGTTTTTGCTCCTTGGCGTGACCCGTTGTTGCTTTGCCTATCGTGCTTTGCAAAGCTAACTTTTATTTTTATTTTTATTTTCGTCTGTCCCTTATTTCTGCCCTCCCGCCAGAGCGCAGGCGCCGGCATTGGCGGCCCGGCCCCGCCCCGCGCCTTACCCAGGAGCCCGCGCGGCGCGCCGAGGTCAAGATGGCGGCGAGGGCGCCTGGTGAGGCGGCGGGGGCGCTGGGGGGGCGGCGGGGCCGGCTCTGTTCCCGGCCTCCTCCCGCCTGCGGTGCGGGGCTCACCTCGGCCCGCGCTGGGCAGCGAGGCGGGCCGTGACGGGGAGTGGGGGAGCCGGGGAGCCGCTGTGCACCGTATGCCCTTGACGGGGACAGCGAGTGCCGGTTCCACAGTCGCCGGGCGAGGCTCCTTGCCGGCCTTGCCGTGGCGGCGGCGGGAGCCTGGCCCCGATAGCTGAGCTTTGTGGGCGTAGAGCATGCTCGGGAGCACTGGAGGAAGCCTTGGGCTGCTCATGAGGGCCCTCGGGGATTGCTGTCCTGCGCGGATACCGACTCGGCGCGCAGTGGTCTAAGGTTATTCCTTGTCTGGCCCTAAAGGACGAAGGAGTAACTAAGTAACCTGCTGAGGTAGTGCTCTGATGAGCTCCTTTGGGGTGTTTTGGGGGTGACCTGGTGAGACTGATGATTTAAAAGTCATCATGTGAAACAGCTCGCCCGCACTGCATTGCCCGTGTTGTGCCGTTCGTGTCCCTTCCAGACCCCTTGTTGAGGTATTTGATAATGTGTAAAAGCACCTCTGCTTCCCAAACCACACTTAAAGGAAGGTGAACGTGCCATATGTGGTGTGGAGGTCTGGTTTTTTGTCTGATGAATTCTTTTTGTTTGGTTGGGGTTTCTTTTGAGGTTTTAATGTGGATTTCATGGTTGACTTTGGCAGCTCCTTGAAAAAGGAATAGCATTCGAGTATCTGGAGAGGAGAGCAGAAGGTTAACAGTATAATAATATGCTGGGCTTGAAGTCACATAGCGAAAGCCAAGGAACCTAGATAAATTATTGGAAAAGCCTGATGGTTTTGTTTTATGTAGACTATGGGTTTGGCTCATGTAAGTGTTATGGAGTCTAAGAGTTTTGTTGCTACCTTTGATGAGGTAGCATTTTTCCAAGCCTTAAAGCAGCCTAATATTCAGATATAGTGAAATGGGTTAAACTCTTGTATGTAGTTAGTTCAGTGTCAGTTACGGGATACTGAGAAGTAGAGCCCAAGTCACATATGGTCAAATTCAAACTTGATGCAGTGTTACATTACTGCACATGTTGGAGGCCAGCAAATATTTGTGTACTGCCACAGTAAGGTGTTAATGTTGACTTTTACCTTGCTGTGCTACTGATGATCATCATGTTCAGTTGCAGGAGGTGGTCGCCTGTTAGACAGGATTTGCAAGTGGTATTACAATGCGGCTGGGTTCAACAAATATGGTAAGTGTTTCATTGAGTTTTAAAAACTGCAAATGTAACAGTTCTCAAACTAGTTATGGTTCATGGCTGGCATATGTACACAATGGCATAAGTCCTTTTGATCAAAACTAGCTACTACTTTGTGGCAAAAAAAGTTGACAATAGCTTCAATTATTTCTGTGTTTGCTCATGTTCCAGTGAATTAACTTATATATAATATATATATATATATATAAAATATATATATATAACTTATAACAGCTAAGGCCAGGCTGGGGAAGTCGAAAAAACTTTCACAAAGCAGTCCTGAAAGCTCAATTATTTACATTTCCCCACCGAGTCACTTTCACTGGCCAGTGACTTCTAACTTAAAGACTGCCCTTGAAGCTGGAGAGGTTCCCACTGATCATAGTCAGCCTATCTGCAGTACTTATGCAAAGTATCCAAAGTGCAAAAAAGATTACAGTTATTCTGCCCTTTGTGTCACCATAACTTCAGCTGGCATCACTCTGGCCTGCACAGTGGTGGAACAGGTGTCAAAACAGGGCTTCCTTAAGGAAGGAGAAGAGGGTCCCTTAATGGTGTTGTCTTCAGTTTATTCAGAGTTGTTACCAAGTTTGTTTCAACCAATTAGATGGCAGAACAGTTCTTGTATGACAAGAATCTGAATATTCAGATGCTGCAGTTTATTGCTCACCACAATACAAGCAAATCTCTTAAAGGAAGTTAACATACCTGCCCTGGGGAAATTAGAAAAAAATTACAAGAGAACTGTAAATAAGTAGTTTAGATCCTTCCTCCAAAGGTGCAGTGCTTAATTCCTCTTTGATAATGCCTGTCTGCTGAAATTCTTACTTCTGCTGCTTCCCTTGAAATGTGAGTAAAAAATTAGCAAAGCATGAAATTTAATACAGTGATTGAACTAGAAGCAGTGCTCCCTGTGCCTTTGAAATAAATTACAAAACTGAATTTAAGAATATGTGACTCAAATATTTGTTTATTGAGACACTACTGCCAAAACAGTCACATGAGATTAAAACCTTTAAGCACAAGTCAGAAGGTATGTTGTAGTAATCATCTCGGAATGCCACAGAAGTAATATTGTCCTATTTTGTTAATACTGAACCTTACAGAAAGGTCGGTTGTGTTCAAGAACCCTGTGTTCCACAGAAGGTGTGGGAGTGTGCTTAGTTTTGAGAAGACTGGGTGTTTCTCCCTGATTTAACTTCTAATTTGGAGCTCACACATTGACATAGAGCTTTGGGTTTCCATAGCTTCATGTAGTCAGCAGAGGTCTGGTCATCATGAACAGGGCAGTTGAGGGAAAAATTCTTCAGTACTGAAGGAGTCTCATCTGTGGCTGACTGACTCTAATGGATTCAGAGCTCTCAAAAACCCTTTACCTGGACAGTCATCTTTAACAGAGATACAAAATTAGATGCACATGAGTTCACCCCTTGGATCCAGAGAAGTTTTTGTTCTGTATATGCATATTCTCATGAAACACATTGAATTAAATACCCATTTTCCTTATTCCTCTTTAAGAAAAGGAGTGAAAAAAGTAAATGGAGTCTTTTAAAGTCAGTGTTTAGGATTGCATGCTCTCTCTGAACAATTAGTGGCTCTCCTGGATTGGTTTGGCTTTTCTTCATAAGTTTGTGCTGGCAGTGTTTTGCCCATGGTACATGTGTCAGTCCTAAATCTTACTGAAGAACATTCATTCAGTGGTACTGTAAATTCTTCTTTGTTCAGGGTTAATGCGAGATGATACATTGCATGAAGATGAAGATGTAAAAGAGGCATTGAAGAGACTTCCAGAGCATCTGTACAATGAGAGAGTATTTCGCATAAAGCGAGCGCTGGACTTAAGCTTGAAACATCAGATCCTTCCCAAAGACCAGTGGGTGAAGTATGAAGAGGTATGTGCATGGAGTGTTTCCAAGGTGCAGGTCTTAAATGACACTGCTAGGACTGGTGGTTGGGATTTTCCTTCTCTGGGGAGACACATGTTTACATGTTCTTTATCATGAATGAGTCAGTATCTCATGGAGTACCTCTGGAAAACACTTTTGATTGCAGTTTAGAAATCTGTTTTTCTGTACAAATTACTAAATTTTTCTCAAGATGACGGAAGCTTATGCTGCACCTCAGAATCACAGCACATTGTTTGCGTTCAGACAAAATATTTCTTCTAAGCTGTCAGATAAATAAATACAATGTAAATAGCTTTGGAATTCTTAAAGAAGGTCTCCTGCTTTTCTGATTAATTTCTTAATCTTGCAGAAAATCTTGAGCCAAAGCTTTTATTCATTGAAGGTGCCAAGGAAGAATAATTTGTAGGGAAATCATGCATTAAAATAAGTGTCACCTTGTACTTCAAAAAACAAACTGCACTTTCCTTATCAGATGTAAGTAAATTTTATTTTTTGGTAGTAAATTGGTTGACAGACTTTGCATCACTGTCCACCTCAGCTTTCTCCAGGTTACTTGGCAGGGAGGAATTTTATCATCAAACTTTTGACTATAGGAGAGTATAAACGCATGAGAGATGTATTAATGCATCTCTGAATAAGCAGAGGCTGTTTCTTGTGGTCTCATAGGTCATATTTAGGTAACTGCTGCATTGAATAACTGGTCAATTCCTCAAGCAGTAGTTTGGTTTGTAAGTGTTAAACATGGCCAGGGTGTTCTATCAAATACAAGTTTACAGTGCTGTTTAGAAGTTAAGCTCAAAAAGAGATTATCTGGAATATTATTGTTGGACTTTGAACTAATTACAGTGCATCTTGCACATTTGAGTATCTGCCAAAAAGAACACTGTTTCTAAAGGCATAGCTGGAAGCATCACTTTTTGCCTGCTAATGTTGATGAGGCATTAGTAATTAGTTGTTGCTGAAGTGCAGAACTTGTCATCACAGCCTTGGCAGATACAAAGTTTACCTTTTCAGGGTAAGTAAGGCTGGATTCTTGTTTGGTTTGTTTTGGGGGGTTTTGTTTTGGTAGTTTTGCTTGTTTGTTTTGAGGTTTTTTTGTTTTTTGGAGTTTTTTTCCTTGATAGGTTGGTGTTTAGTCAAACGTGGGAAGGAATGCAGAAGAAACAGTCTGTAGGAATGACTTGAGATGTTTTTGGACCTTGCTGTAAGTTTAAATATATTTCTTCTATATATCTCTTCTTTTTCAGGATCACCGTTATCTCGAACCATATCTAAAAGAAGTAATCCGTGAAAGACAAGAAAGGGAAGCATGGAACAAGAAATAACTGTTGAACTACTTCATGCAAATATCCAGATATTTCTGATATTTTAAACATTTGGATGTAGAAGTCCATAGGGAGGCAGTTGTGGGCCTGAGGAATACTGTTTCAGCTTGTTCATTGAATCTGTTCATCCAACTAAAATAAACATGTCAAACTATAAAAATCTTGGAAGAGTTCTTTCTAAATGTTAACAAGCTAATGTTCAGATCTTTCCTGTGAGCATATACATTACACATTAGCTTAGTGGTATGCAGTCTTCATCCCAGCTCTTGATTCTTACTCTTTTATCATACAGCTGTTTTCTGCAGTAGTAGAATTAGGTTAGAAATGTTCAGGACTGTTGGTGCTAGTTGCTCTCTTAAGTTAAAGAAGATTTGGTGTTCATTTGTCACTTGTCCCTGTAGGCAACAATACTGAACCAGTGTTTGCTGTTACAATGGTATTGTGAGACAGAAGAATGTAATATTCTGTGTACCTGAGCAGATACATATTGTAAAAATGGAAAATAGAGATGATTCCTTAATCATAAAATGGGAAATGTTTCCCTAACTTTTTATACCATATATGTTGTTAAGCCTTAAAAACTATTTTCATGTAAACCATAATCAATGTCTCACTTCAGCTTTTTGAGACTTTTTATTCTTTTAAAGAGTAAAAGTGGTATTCTGATGTGCTTTGAACAACATAGCACTTAACATAGTTAACTTCTCATGGGTTTTTTTCATCACCTAAAGCATGCTCTAATTTTTAGTGATTCATATCCAGAAAAAACTGGCCCTTACTGGCTGAAAACCTGGACTTTAGTCTTCCATAGTTCAATGGTAGTGTGAATTTGATGCAGATACTGGTATAAGGCATGAAATTCAGAGGCTGTTGTGTAACCTGGATGAAGTACAGAATCTTGCATGATGGCCTCAAGGTTAGTGTTTTTCCTTTTGTTGTGCATGCTTGTGTGCCAAATACAACACCCAGTTTACCAAAAGAAAAAAAGAGCAAACCACATCTGCAGTTTTGAATTGGTATGACCAAATAAAATACTGGATTAGAAGCTTTTAGCTTTGTTCATCACTCTGTTACTGACCTTCACCTGCTTGCTTAAGTCCCTTACATCTGTAGGATGGATACAATGATCCCTCAAAACTTGACAGCCTGATGTGGCAAAACAAAATTCTGCAAAAATACCTTCATTGCCAATATTGCTCCTAAGTCTGCATGGAAAATATATTAAGAATTTGAGGCTTCGTTTTTCTCCTGTAGTAAAATCTAATGATTGAAGCATACATAATTTGATGTGTTTTTAGGAACTTCATGATTTTCTTCCAAGAGACAAATAGGGCATGAAGTTTCACACTTCTCTTTATGGAATTATTAGAGTATAGCTTTCTAATGAAATCAGAACTATTACATTATCTCTTAGAATTATATTAGAAGACTTAATTACATAGTGAAAGTAGTACTTCAAAAGCATAGCTGGTCAAATTTCTATGAAAGCTAGAATTCTATGGAATACTCTGCTTATTTGACCACAGGTTTTGATTAAGAAAAAAGCCTCTCAAAAATTACTTCATATGTACAAAGGGGCTTTGTTGGCATAAGATGCTTAAAAATAGGCTGATCTTTGAGTGAAGTGCAAAGCAGCCACACCACAGTTGGCCTAAACCATCTGAAATCACTGACCCCTTTACTCTCAGGTGTAACATCTTAAAGAGTCAGAGGTGAGTAGTAGAAGTTAATAGAAGAGTCTTTCCAAGTGATCTTTTTGGGCAGCTCAAGGGAAAGAGGAAAAAGAAAGCCATGTTAAGAGCTTTCCTGCTCACTGAGGCTTCATTTAGATGAGTTTTCAGATGCTTCTGACTTGGATTGATAATTTTTAACTTCAAATTTCCCTAATGTCCGAAGTAGTCTTCTGTCGAAGCATTTTGAATTGTCTAGTTGTATCTTGGAGGGCTATTGGTATTAGTAAGGAAAATATTATTTACCATTTTTGGCAGAGATGGGTGTGTATTTGAAATGTTTAGAAGTATCTAAAAATGGTAAGGAACAGGGAAGAAGGAGGCTAGTGTAAGAGTGGCATCTATTGCCTGGGAGCCAGGAGCTATAGCAGCTCTGTGTTAAAGACCAAACCCTTCTTTAGGATATGTGGTGTGAGATTTGTACGCCTCTGCTACTGGCTAATGAATGAGTAGCTTGGGAGACATTTCATATTTCACTTTCTGGTGTTCCCCTCTGTGCACACCAAGTTGACAAGCATCAATCTTAGCCAGAAGAAATGGGAGTTTCCTTGTATGTAACATTTAAATTCTGCTGGTGACAAGTTGGAGGGTCAGCATGATTCCCAATTTTGAATGCTTGCAGTTATGCTTAAAAATATCTGGGATGGGAAGGAATGCATTTGCAAAAATGGGTTTCAGACCTGCAATTTCACTGTTGGTTCTACCCCACCTGTCCATCTCTCTGTGGGATCCTGCCCTCTGAATCATCCCGGCCTGTGCAGCCATTAGCTTGCTGTCTGCAAAGTTGCCTCATTTTAAGGAAAAGGTTAGTAACAGTAAAGGGGATCAGATAGCTAGAGGAGAAAAGAAAAGAAAATAAGAAAATAGAATAGTCTGATGAGGAAGGAAAGGGCCTTCTGCTTTAGAGAACTGGGATTTCTTTATTCTGCTATTACAAGGTTCTTCTGTAATACTAAGCAAGACACTTGGTTCACAGAAACTCCATAAGAATTTTGCTAAGTGCTTAATATATCTGTGCTTGGAGCTACATCTGCAGAAGTGCGGAGTAATCACATCTGTGTCTGGGTTCAGTTCATTGGTTCTGAAAATATTAGGTGCAAGTGTTGGTATTTATCCATACACACAATGGTTACTACAGGTGGTAGTAGCAGGAGCAAATTTCACAGGGATTGTCACTATCCTCATTCCTCTAGTGGTAAGTGCAAAAAATACTTACATAGAAGAAGATGTATTTGTGGCTTGTATCTGGTACTTTCAGAAAGCAAGGATGAGTCGTGCACTGAAGAGGATTGTAAAGAATTTCTGAATGAGAAGAGTGCCTAAAATGTGAACCTGCAATTTAAGGTCATATCATCATGTACAATGCAACAGCGAATGTTGCATCTCCTTATTCCTGATTTTGATACCTTCACCTTTGTTAATGTAGTTTTTTTGGATATAAATTTTGTAGGGATTCCATAAATTACTGAGCTATTTTTGTAGTTCACCACATCCAAGTCATGTGTGTAAAATTAAGAGTCTGAGCTGACATTTCTAGTCCTGCAGTTTGATGATAGTTTTAGCTTAAATTATTCTTCATCACTTTTGAGCAAACCTGTGCTTCACTTGAAGTTCTCTTTATTAAATACATAATGAAATATAAGAATACATTTTGATTGGTGAAGATCATGTTTGCTATGTCAGACTGATTTCCTTAAATTTTGAATTGGTCAACCCCAAAACAATGGATTTTTTTCAGCACTATAACAAGAAACATATGCTTGTTTTACATCCAACTTCCATCTGAAAGAGAGCTACAGCAGATACAAATCCCATAAGAATTTTGATGAAACATCGTGCTTGTCATTTTAATAGAAGCGTTTTAGCATTAGTATGGTAAACACATTCTGACTTGAGGCATTTTCTCTCTAGAGAGCAAAGGTCAAAGATGACCTTCAGGACTTCTCCACTATTGGCAGTTGGTTTTCATGGACTGAAACTGTGGCCAGGGCAAGGGCTGTTCCTGGGCAGCAGAACAGGCAGAGGCAACCCTCCAGGGTGACATCAGAGTGACTTCACTTTTCATAGCCTCTCTTAGCTGATCTACAGCCCAAAGGGCTAACATCTTGAAAAACTGTAGGCCACAAACTTCATTGTAAACAGTGTGTTAACATCTAAATACCATGAGGCCTGATCCCAAAACTATTTCCTCACACTCCCCTGCAGGCCGTGTGGAGCTGTAAGCTTCCTTCAGTGTCAAGAAGTTCCTGACTCACTCAGAACCTCTGCTGGTGTTACTGGGATGAGGTGACAGGCAAGTGTGCTGTCCCAAAGCTGTGCCAGAAAGCATCTGCACCTCTGCCTTCCTGGCAGGGTATGTGTTAAGACATGTCTGGAGAAGGAGCCCTCAATGCCTTCTGCTCACTGGTGATTTAATGCTAGGTTATGCTGGCAGCCTGTCAGCTCAATTACTTTTTCTTCACAAAAGGTGTCAATTCACAGTTCCCTTCTTGGTGAATGCTTACATATTTTACGTAATATTTACATATTTTCTGGAGTGCAAGTGGGACTATTAATCATTTTGGCTATCTCTCTTCTGCTATGAAAGATCTGATAAACTGTACCAGGAGACACGAGGACTCAAATCAGTTGCTTAGAGCTTTTTTCTAGGCTGGTTTATGATGAGCTTCAAAATAAGGGGAGTGCCTGACTCCACCTGCCTAGGGGCACTTGCCTGTCTAGGCAATTACTGTCCACCAGCTTCTGCCCTGCTCTCTCCTGTAGTACCTGAGCTGTGGCACTGGATCAGGGAGCTAGGCCAAGGGCTTGAGTGAAGAATGCAGGGTGGATGAAGGGTTGAGGTAGACCCAGGATTAGGGTGTCATGTGCAGGGATCTGAAGAAAGTATAAAGAATGTAAGTTGACCTCAATCCCCTTTGCCTGCTTTGGAGGTGCACGGTGAGGATGAGGTGAAGTTGATGCATTTATGTGCAAACGTGGTTTAATGCATTTTGGGAAATGGGAACACTGAGTATGAGCATGTGGAGAGAGGTATGAGGTAGTTTGACAAAGGCAAAGGTGCTTTTCAGGCCACTACAGAGAGTGACACCTGTATGTCCTAACTTTGGGAATGCCAAGTTCATGGCACTCATTGAGGTTTACGTTTTCCCCAAAGAATATTTAAAGATCATACACTGAACCTTATTGCGAGTCCAAGCTGTCCCTGCCCCGCCTCCAGGGTGCCTGGACATGGCCTAAGTGTCCATCTCCTGTGGGCCAACCTCATCTGCTTCTTTCATGAAAATCAGAACATTTTCAAGAAGATGCCCCCACAGTGACAGGGTAGGTCTGACTTTTGGATGCTCACATCTCTGCTGCAAAAGAGGAGCAGTAGATCTTTCTCTTCCAAAGCCTAAGCAAGTGCTGGAATTGTTGCTGCTTTATGAGCGTG